AACTTATTTAAAAAAAAAATGTCTATTACACTTAGTTAATTTTCATTTGATTTTACTGATTTATTTATTTAGTTTTTTATATAGTCATTTTGTTATTCTATAAATGTACCTATTTTTAGTCTTGCGGTCATATGACGACTATTTTAATTGAAAAAAATCAGAATGCAATATATAATAATATTAAAATATAAAATTCTGATCATAATATACTCCCAGTAAAATATACAATAAAATGAGTTAAATAATTTTAATAAAAATTAAAATATGCACACTTATCAAATTAAAGGCATAGTTAAAGGTTTTCTTTGCTGTTCAATAGTATAATCTTATTACCCAAATAATTATTTTGCGGCGTGGATGTTTATTTTGCTGATGCATCATAAAATACGCTACCTTTTTGAATTTAAATTGCTGACCGTTATCATGATTATTCACAGAACATGAATTGCAGACTGTTTTAGTGCTGAGAAAATATTTGTATGCTTGCCTATTGATTACTCGGCTGTTTTCTTCTTGCTAACCAAATTTTTAAATAAAATGCCAATTGTTACTTTTTTAATAAATTATATCACTTTTTCATCTACCAACTTTGTTTTCTTTATTTTCTCTTGTTTATTCATCAATGTTTCTTTTACAAATAATATAATACAAAGATTATGTAGGTGTTTCATGTTTTCTATTTTTACTACTAAACAAGATGCTCTGAACTAAAATTGTGACACAGTACGCACGGTATCTCACTTAATGAGGAGTAAGCGAAATTTATTCAGTCAATACAATTTATTGAATAAATTTATAGACAAGTTGGCTACAAGCATATAAGAAAGTCGAAACTCTGTGCTTATAGTTCGTAAATCTATTACGGGAAACCTTGTACCGAGAAAAGAAGAAGGGGAACCGGTAAGAAACTGCAAGTGCTGCTTTTGCACCCTGTTTAATTTCGTACTGAAAAATAAAAAATGCCTTCATTGCACCAAAATGTTACTTTCCACTATAACAATAAAAATATACAACAAAAAAAAAACATAATAATTCAGTCGTCAATCGACTTATTTAAAGCTTATTATAGTTACCGTGGCAGTTATCTTGGACAGTGATCACACTTCCCGTGGATGCAAAATTAAACTTATGTTAAAAAAAAACTATTTAATTATAGTTGCAAAATATCAACTTTACAATATATATGGAAATAATTATAAATCACGATTGATATTATTGTTAAACTTTTAAGATATATTTTTTGGTACTATAGTTCTTAAAACTACGTAAAATTGTCTATATTAGAGGAAAAAGAAACATATTTATCGAGGTACAATCATATTATAAAATAATATTTATATAGTATAAATGTGAAAGTTTGTGAGGATGGATGTTGGTTACTCTCATGCAAAAACTACTGAACGGATTTTAATAAAATTTGGAATACGAATAATCTTTTACCGGTGGGAAGCGCCATCATACGCTGGTAACATAGGTTATACGAGGGTCAAACTGAAAGTTCTTAGAACTGGCCATTTATAAACAATATAATAAAAAAATAATTCTAAAATTTGAAAATATAACTCTTTGCCAATATTACTGAGTATATATTTCATTCATTTGTCATTTGTTTTACGATTTGGCGGCAAATTGAAAATTGTCTGTGTCACGTCATCATGAATTTAACACGAGAAAATTTTCGTGCAATGATTTTTTATGACTTTCGATGTCATTTAAGTCAACAAGAAAGTTATGATAGACTACGATTGGCCTTTCACGATGAAGCCCCATCTCGTGCGACTGTTTACAACTGGTTTAATGAGTTTAAACGTGGTCGCACTAATCTCACTGATGATTTACGTGAGGGACGGCCTTCTACGGCGACGACTGAAGATAACATCTGTGTTGTGCGGCGTATGATAGAGACTGACAAAAGAGTGACCTATCAACAGATTCGGACAAGCTTAGGCATCGGTATGAGTCAAGTGCACAAAATCCTCCACGAACATTTAGCGGTCAGGAAGCTTTGCGCCCGGTGGATACCTCATAATTTGACTGAGGCTCAAAAACTCCATCGTGTGGATTGGTGTCGTAAAATGATTGAAAGATTTAACGGAGGTGACTCAAATGCTGTGTTCGACATACTAACAGGTGACGAAAGCTGGATTTACTGTTATGATCCTAAAACCAAAAGACAATCTGCTCAGTGGGTGTTTCCTTTCGAGGAGTTGCCAACTAAAGTGAAGAGAGATCGAAGTGCGGGAAAAAAATGGTGGCCTCGTTCTTTGGAAGGATAGGTCATTTTGCAACAATTGTGTTAGAGGATCAAAAAACAGTTTCTGCAGAATGGTACACTACCAATTGTTTGCCACTTGTCTTGGAAAAAGTTCGAGAGAAACGACCTCGCAGTAGGATCCTCCTTCACCACGACAACGCCTCGTCGCACACCGCCAAGCGAACGATCGACTATTTGGCGACATCAAACGTTGAATAACTGGGTCACCCGCCGTATAGCCCCGACCTCGCGCCTTGTGATTTTTATTTATTTCCAAAAATTAAAGAAAAACTTAAAGGTAAGCGGTTTATGAATGCTGAAGAAGCGGTGGCTGCGTATCGCGATGCCATTGAAGAGACCCCTTAGGACGAGTGGGCAAAGTGCTTTTCCCAGTGGTTCCATCGCATGCAGCGGTGTATTGACGTGAATGGACAATATTTTGAAAATATATAATAAAACTAATAACTGGCTAATGTAATCAGTTTTTGATTTTCTAAGAACTTTCAGTTTGACCCTCGTAATTACTATACCGACGCAACGGAGTCGCAAGAACAATGAGACTTTTAGATGTTCAACAAAACACGAGCAAAAGATTGCTTAAAGATTTATAAATAATTGATAAATTCACACCCACACTTTAAACAAAATATTATTTCCTTAAAAGTGGCGTGAATTTATCTATTTAATTAATAATAATCATAAATAGGATTGGTACGTAAGTGTGAAACGAATAGAAGTATAATAGGTAATAGTTTAGCCATGCCCCTAACAATGGAAATTATATTACTTTATTTAATAAGTAGTAGTTTTGTAGCAGTTTCACGAAATACTAACTTTTATTTAATATGACTTCAATGTCGATACAAATATCGATATCATGGGTCGCGCCTTATGACAGTCCGCCATCGAAGAATTTGCATTTCAAGTTTAGGCATATACGTTTTTGACGTGGATACGTCTATGTTTTCGTTCTACAGGGGGGTCATTCTGTGAGCAGGATTATATGCACTAACGCCATCTATTGGCGTATAAGTGAACTATGCTTGCTCTGCAGGGGGAGGGGCATTCTGTCAGCAGGAGTATATGCACTAACGCCATCTGTTGGCGCTAGTGAATACTTTTTTCATTCAACAAATGAACGCAACGAATATTTATTTATTTAGTGTTTAGTGTCTTCAATTTGTTTATTTTTTTTTTTGAATTATTCATTTATAAATGCAATTATGCCACAACGTTGCATAATTCCGGGTTGTTTTGGAGAAGCGAATCGTTCAGTTTTTAGAGTGCCAAAGAACATTGATAGACGTGAAGAGTGGTTAAAAGCTATTCGTGATGTGTTTCCTAACCTGGATGTTGGTGAAAATTTTTATGTTTGTGAAAAACATTTTAAAGAAGCAGATTTTACGGCATATATAATTGACAAATCTGGAAAAATTATTCAAAAGGTATCATTATAATATACAATACAATAAATATAATACAATAAATAAAAAAGAATTAGCTTTATGCCATACGTATGCATATGTACACATCCATCTACGAACACGTAAATATAGCTTTATATGCGTTAGCAATAAAATGTAAAATATTTTTGAGTGAATTTGCTAATCTTTATATAAAAATAAATAAATTCGTGCAAATTCAAGTAAAGAACATCGTCGAAAATGGCCCCAATATGAACAAGCATGAATATTTTACAATAAATCGCCGACATCTTTACTGTCATGTCGTACATGAAGCTGTTAAGGATGTTCTACTTGTAATGTATATAATAATCGATAACTTGATTACACTTTAATTTTTAAATCTCGACAAGATATAATGACTCGAACCGGAAAAAATCTTGCAGGTGGAGTTGCCATATATAATCGTGTGGAAAATTTCACAAATTGTGTACCAATAATAAATGACATCTCTGGTGAGACACACGTCCATATAAATCTCGTAGGAGATTTCACTTCTGTTGAAGTATCATTCAAAAATAATACAAAGTTCATTTTAGCAGCTGTATATATTCATCCCAAGACATCTATAAATGAAGTTAAAATTTTCTTATTTCAATCATTACTTCAATATTCTCAAGCTATAAAAAAAAATTTACCGACAGTGGAACCTGACATTGAAACACCAATCATTTAATGTGGAGATTTTAACTCCGACATATATGAAAATTCATCATTACTTAATTTTCTAAAAAAAGAATTTAATTTGGATTGTTGCCAGACTCAACCCACAACTCTGGGCAATACATATTTAGATTTAACTTTTACATGTAATTTAAATGTTAACCAATTTCGTTACGTTTCATATTTTTCATATCATCGACCTATACTCAATAAACTCTATTTATAACATTAATAATTAGTATTTTTTTTTATCAATTACTCATATATCCATTCATACATAGACGTATCCACGCATAAAATATGGCTGTATCAATGATACAGCCAACCAGGGTTTTTTTCGTAGGTATGGCCGGTCCTCTTCTTTTATGTCTATGGAAAATACGCACTGCAAATTTGCAAATGGCGGACAGGTGGTACGAATGCTATATGTCATGTCGTCACGTAAAAAATTTTAAACTGTCACACTAGTGCGATCTTTGTTTACTAAAGAAATTTCTTATTAGTTAAAAAAGACAACATGATGTTTTCGATGTCAACTTCAGATTGCATGATATATGATATTTATATAACCATAGAAAATATTTCCACCCACTCTACTTATCTCTATGGGTAATTCCAAAGGGTAATTCGTCGCCTTTCCTTTAAGGAAAAAATCTACCAAAAAAAAATCTCTATGGGTAAGACGGAAAACATTTTTGAATGATTCAGAAGATACCAGGAATTTTATAAAATTTAATATCATGGTATTTAAATTGATTCGCACTGATTCAGAAGAACCATGTAAAATATTACTTGGTGTTGGAAAACATTTGATTGGAAGAGGGAAATTTCTTGATGTAAGTAGATACTTATGTTACTCCAAATAAATACCTATTTAATTTATTGCTTTCAAATAGTTTGATTGAATATATTTCAGTGTGACGACAAAAGAGTGTCCAGACATCACGGGGAACTTGAAGTGACAGAAGACGCAGTTATTATTAAGGCGGTGAGTGTAATTAGAGTGAAATGATAGTCAGGTTCAAAATTTAACACAAATATAACTAAGCCTATTTATCTTTCCAGTTGCACCAAAATCCATGTTTTGTTATTAAGAAAGGAACACAAGAAACCCATATATTGAAACAAAGTTGTGCATCTGACATTAGAAATGGTGACAGATTTGGTTTGCTCCCAGATTCATATTGGTATGAGCTATTACATTGCGCCATAGCCGATGAAGACCAACAGATACCATCAAATATTATCCAGGGCAATGAAGATATAGATAGCGCTGAGACTGAACCATTTGAAACAGATAATGATGGTGTATCACAAGAAATAAATATCAACTTGAATGAAACCATCACTAACAACAATCCAGGTTCACCTTCATTACTAAGTATGTTTCCTGCCTTATATAGATTAAAATAATTTAAACCTTTAATCAGACTAACTTATCTACTACACAATATATAACATTAAAAAAGTTCCTTCTTAATCTGATTGCTCTTTGGTAAAGGCCTCCCTTAAGAATATATATTCCAGTATAGCTGTTTAGGTGTTAATGGTTCTCCCTGTCTAACTCCCTTTCCTATTTCAAATTCTCCTATTTTTTGCATCTGTATCTTGGCCAAGATACAGATCTTGTCATAAATATTCATTTTCAAATTATGTTCTTTACCAATTATAATTTTTTATAGGTCCAGAGCCCAATAAATTGGCAACAAGCTCAGGTGAAACTGTTGGATGTGATAATGATAGAGAAATCAAAACTGAGGAAACATCACCAAGTAAGAGGTCTCACAGCATCGAAGATAAAGAATGCACTAGTGGCAAAAAGGTAAAGGTAGAAAATGAAGAGAACCCTGAGGTAAAAGAAGAAGAATCCGTCGATATGAGTGAGCCTAGTGATGCTTCACCTGGACCTAGCAATGATCAAATGGTATGTATCCTTTTACTTAAGAAATTTATTATACTGGCTTAGATGCATTATAATTAACTTGGTAATTTTGAAAAATTTTATACTTATACATTTAATAATTTTTAAGGCAGCATTCACATGTTTCATTTCTTGTATAATGGTGAGCCAACTTTGATATAAAATTAATTTGTTATTAAGGCAGACTATAGGTAGCAGGGTCTATGTGAGATCTAACTATAAAATTACAACATTCTAAGCATAGAGTGCTGCAATTTGACAAAGCTATCCTTAGCATCAATTTGTTTGATAAGAAAAATCTCTGGCAATGTTGCTCAGGACCCATCAAGGGCAGACAACGGACAAAATGATGCATCAAAGCCTCCCGCTGACCCATCACAAAGGGAACGCTGTATGTATGGGGCGAACTGTTACAGGTATGCAGAGGATAGGAAAATTGTTATTTTTTATTTAGATTACTTCAGCTATACTCCATTCATTATAACATTAGAAAAAAGAGGGTCATAGAAGCAGCAGTGCAGAACATTTTATTTTCAAGATAAATTAAAAAAATATATATTATAGTTTTGTTGAAACTTTGAATGTTAAGTGGCCTGAAAGAGCTGAGCAATTTTCTAATTTTTACGATCCCTCAGGGTTGCAATGAGGCCAGCATTTTCTAAATTCATCTTTACTCCCAAGCTAACATGGAACTTAGCTATCTATCTGTTGATTTGATTATAATTAGAATAGAATTTAGTTATATCTATGCCCAGTAAAGAAAGGTAAACAAAATGAAATTTTTATTATTACTTTTATACATTTATTCAGACATTAGAGTGAAGACATTGGTAAAACTTCTTGAAATGTTAAAGGTTGAGGGTAGGTATGGGGGCTTAATTGTTATAGGCCACTCGGGCCTGCACCGGCATCATCCAAATTTAATAAAACTTAACAACAAAAATAAAACAATAGCAACTTAATCACGGAAAAGGGTAAAACAACAAGAAAGGCAGTAGCATTCACAATAGATGACAATCCCAGATTACGTATTTTGACAATTATGAATACATCATAGTCTGACAAAATTAAAAAACTGTACTGCCGAAACGTTTGAAGGGATTAGGCAATGTTTTAAATTTGGTAGAATTATAGTGACATGAGAATCGTGCCGAAACTATCCAACCCTGCTTCTTTAGGTTCTTTAAGATGAACACTTTTTATTGTAATAGTTTTTAAATCATTTAAGTTAATCAAATACTCATAAAGGGTTTAGCCGGATACATATGACGAGTCGGCCCCCAAATGGGAATCGATATTGAAACTTATGTTTTAATATCGACTTGATGTTCAAACACGATTTATGTACTTTTCGCGACCGACTTCCGCTTTGACCTTGAGATAGAGAGCAAAATATCCGTATGCTTGACTATTACTGAATGTGATATATCTCTAAAGCTAATTAAGATAAAGAAGTGAAACTAACGCGAGGTGTTAGGTTACATTACAGAGTATATCACATATATTTTTTTATAATTTTTAGAATAAAAAATTACATTAAAAAAATAAAAAATAAAAAAATCATGTTTTTTTTTCTGAGTTCTCTGTGACTTACAATCACGAAATTAATATATGTTATGCTCCTTTGTGTGCTCTATTACCCATAAAAATTGCGTGAAAAAAAAGTTGGTGCAACACAACGAAAAAAAATTATATGTGATTTCTATCTTATGGTATACCCCTGTATTATAAGGTTTTCACATTACATCATTGTTTTTTTTTTCGAAATTTCACATCAGCTTGTTTTAAAACATAAGTAACTAGTCTTAAGAGATGGGATAATAGTTAAAAAAGAAATGAAAAAAAAACAGCCAGTGTTCAATACTTATTATTATTACTTTTTCGTGTCTATCAAAATACAAGAAACAAAATATTAATCATCGTCACTGTTGTAATTAATTACAATCGGAACACTTTGAATCGCAAATAACTTAGTTAGGACCTCAGCAGGACGTACGATTTTGGACAAATATCATCCATATGATAGATAATAAATAATAGCTGCTACATGAGAACAGCATCCCACTGTACGTTTGCCATTGGGGCAATCACAGCAATAACGAAGAATACTATTGTAGTCATTACCTTCGGAAATATAGTGAATGTAAAATCGATAGACTTTTCTATTTATATGTCTTGATTTTACTTCTGCTTTGATGATATTAGGTGCTGATTTCACATATTGTACTGAGAGATTATTTTGATCGTCCATTATTTCGGCCAAGTTAAATGCTGCACATTTAGAAGTAGAAGCTTTTTTGTTAATATATGGGATAAGTCGACACTTCTTACAAAAAATATCATTAACTATTACGATTTTATTCAAACAGTCACTAAACACTTTAGCTTCTTCTTCATTCTTTATAATTTTTTTATAACCAGGAATCTTACACAGGTACTTGTTACAATTTTTACACTTTCTCGACTTGGTTCGATTCGATTCGATTTGGTTCGATAGTTAATAATTTCAAAATGCTGATACAAAATACCTATGACAGAATTTGAGTCCCAAACTGCCTTCTTGTGTAATACAAATGACTGCTACTTTAGCTAAACAAACGATGCAGTAAACAACTCGATAACAAGTTCGAACTTGTTTGTTTATATACTCACACTACAAGGCGCGAATCACATATAATTTTTTTTCGTTGTGTTGCACCAACTTTTTTTTCACGCAATTTTTATGGGTGATAGAGCACACAAAGGAGCATAACATATATTAATTTCGTGATTGTAAGTCACAGAGAACTCAGAAAAAAAAACATGTTTTTTTTTATTTTTATTTTTTTAATGTAATTTTTTATTCTAAAAATTATAAAAAAATATATGTGATATACTCTGTAATGTAACCTAACACCTCGCGTTAGTTTCACTTCTTTATCTTAATTAGCTTCAGAGATATATCACATTCAGTAATAGTCAAGCATACGGATATTTTGCTCTCTATCTCAAGGTCAAAGCGGAAGTCGGTCGCGAAAAGTACATAAATCGTGTTTGAACATCAAGTCTATATTAAAACATAAGTTTCAATATCGATTCCCATTTGGGGGCCGACTCGTCATACGTATCCGGCTAAACCCTTTGTTTAATAGATAGCTGAAATGATAACAGTTAAGTATAGCGGCTGGTATTTAAGTGAATATGTAGCAAATAAGCCGTCAGTCTTAAGAGGAACATGATTATTGATATTTTGTCCCAAAGTATACCATAAAAAGAACCTTATTTAACTTCTGTCTAATGCTATAATGAATGGAGTGTAGGTGTTTACAAAATGACAAAGCGGTGAAGGCTTAAATTAAAATCTAGCAGAGCGAGATGTTTCAAAAGACATAATTTGCAGTATTAGAATTAAGGAAACCTCGTTAAATTATGAAAAATCCTATATTCCGTTCTACCGTGATCGTTTCTGTGAATATATCATCTGACTGCTATACATGATCGCGGGCGTCAACACTAGGGACTAGTCGATATATGCCGATCATAGAGATCATAGAGTGTGGGTTGGATGGTGCCTGTTGTGCAGACGCAACCCGCAGCACAAGGCGCAGTTCAGCCACCCGGGCGACGGCGACTGGGGCGCGGGCGAGCGCGGCGCCTGCCCCTGGGGCGCGCGCTGCCGCCGCCGCGACCCGCGCCACTGGCGGGCCCACGACCACCCGCCCGCCGCCCGCCAGCCGCCACCTCACCAACCAGGTATACATTATACTAAGCATGACCCCAGTAGGCCTATTTCGGAAGAGATCGGTTTTAGCGATAAGGATAAGTCTTTGCCTGCTGTAGAAACTCTGTCAATTTTTGTGTATCAGTAATATGTTGTTTATTTGTCTGAAAACGGAATTTCCTGTAATTTCATGATCGATTATTTATGAGGCCACAGACGTGAGACCTGAATCTGCCTCTGATGCCCATGTCGCAGCCGAATGGTTAGATGAGTCGATCAATTGAATGGCGCCATTCAATTGCACGCCTAGTTTTCTAGTTGATTCATCGTGACATTTAGACCATACAAAAAGACGGCTCGTTTAAATGCCGCCGAAACGATTTGTTATCTGTAAAAAAATAACCTCTAATTTAAATTTCTAAATGTTCTTGAATTCCTAAACTGTCACGTGACTAAGGGCCAGTTTTTTGATCCGTAGTCAAATGTCATTTCACCATTTGTTAAGTTGACTATAGTTAAAACAATAACAAGTTGTTAACTCGCTATTTCGTTTTTTGATGCCAAATTTAACCACTGGCCAATTTGTTGCCAGCACAATGAGTCGTTTTTTCGCTATACATTGACATGGGTAATTTTTTTCTGGGTGACAATACTAACGGTTTGAATGAACGGTGCGAACTATATACCATTTTTGACATTAGGATTTTGTTCTAAATATCAAATAGACGAAAGAAATCCATAGATTATTAAACAATGTGGATGTTTATGGTTGTTCTGTTGTGTGCACTATGTGTCATTTTTCAGGAAGTATAAGGCAATTTCTTTAATAATTTTAGAAAGCAACAAAGATATGTTTTTTCCAGTTATTTTAAAGTTAACTTTTTATAAAAAGCATATATTTGTTTTTTATTTATCCTATAGAGAAATACACGTGAAAAGAATATAGTATCTAGTATCCAAGATGGGATTGTAACGTTGGAATATAAATCGAGGACTATGTATTTTATGTACTGTAGGCATATTTACCTTTTGTATTGTCTATTCGTGGGATTTATAAGATTTTTAATAATCGAATAATTTGGCATCTGCCCGTGGAAACAAGAAAAATTATTTCTATATAGTTCAAATATACTAAGGATGATCAAGATAATAATATAACTTCTATTCTATTCTAACCTGGGTAAAAACTCGCCTTTAAACGGAATATGTGGTACAACCACTATACAAATAAGAAATGAATTCCCAATGAATTGACAGTTAATTAGTTGGCTGACCTTTGATCAGCTGTATTGTAGAACGATTACCCTCCATTCCGCATTGGGCCAGCGTGGAAGGTCATGGCCTATCCTCCTTAACCGTTCATAAGGAAGGCCTGAGCCCCTGCAGTGGGGACGTAAAAGGGCTGATGATGATGGTTGTAGAATGATGCCATTAGCTAGTCGACTGATCGAATTTCAGCCCGTTAATTGAATAGAACAGCCTATTCCTGACTAGTCACTCTACTGGACCCGCTGATTTAACTACTTGGCTGCCACACACATATGAGAGCTACGAATATGATTTTTACAAAATCATAAGAACGATTCATTCGTTCGAAGACAAATATAATAGGACAGCTTGTGTTAATTTGTATAGATGTACCAGAATCTGATGGCAAATCGGGAAATTTAAATTTGTAGAACGCAACATTGGGAAAAAGAATAAAGACTTCTTGATATTTTAATATAATAAAAACTTTTCAATAACTCCCTCAGCATTGAAAATACTCCTGGCCATATTCCGATCACGGCAAATTTAGCCAACTACTAAGACAATAGATTACACAAACATACAACTTTACACTCTATATTAGCAACATCTAATACATAATATATATTGAAAGCACCTGACCTGACAGAAAAACCCAATAATATTTTACCTGACTCGGAATCTAACACAGTTTTTAATTACTAATATCTCTGCAACTATATATAACGCTTACCGTTTTAATTTATTTTAATCTTTTCACCGTTTCTATTTCCCCCCGACGTGTAAAAAGTGACTTTCATATCTTCTTTTTTCCTAATAATTCATTTTATTATAGTAGTCGACACGCCAACAAATATTTACTAATTCTTTAGAAAAACTTAATTAAAAATTAATTTTTTATCAAGACTAGTCGTTGCTAGTTGCCGGTTAATACATAAACACACCTTGGAATTAAAACAAGATCGTTGATCTTAACCTTCTCTTCAAAAAAGTTTGCTATTAACATTACAATATTTCTCGCCTAAGATGTTAATGACTTTTTGGGCATTTTCACAAAATAATGTTTACAAAAATTTACATTTCCATTTGTAGTCAATAGTCGACATTCTATATTGCCATATGAAAATCGAGTTTTTGTGCCATCAGATTCTGGTACATCTATACGAGTTATACGGTAGGTAAGCTTTTTCTCACCAATGAAGACATGATGAAGACTTAGCACACTAAAGTTTTCATAGTTTATCGATGAGCAGATCTATTGTAGATTTATGGGTCGATGGTACTTATAGATGCGCTGGCTGTTTCGTGAGTTTGTTCACAATTTTATGGCCGCTCCACGCTGTGGCCCATGATGGGCGAACACCCGAGTGTCACCATCATTGCGCCGCTGTACATACGATCGGTCATCCCACATTTGTTAATTACCATCTGAACCATATGGACGTCGAAACAAACCAAATTGTCCTTGTGCTTCCTTTTAGTATAATTCTTGAAACATAAATGGTCAGATAAAGGCCTGCTTCGGTACGATATTTTACTATCGATAACAGGCAAAAAGGTCGCGTCTGCACCGTATCATAAATAACATGAGTATCATCGCCGATCATGGGCCAATATAGGCGAACATGCCGTCTACACAATGGTGATGGCCTGTCTTTGCCCATCATGGGCTGTGGCCCAGTGTGAAGCCGGTGGAATATGAATAAACCTTTTATATATACATTTATGCATCATTTTACGCCAGTCTCTGCAGCTTGCGACATGTTTTCATACATTTCTTAATATTTAATACGATTCGCCCGTTTAATACGCTATGGCATCGTAAGATATTAAATCAATGACGAAATATTTAAAAAAAAAGATAGCACTAAAAAAGCACCTCCACTAGATGGCGATTCTAACCAACGTCGATTTTTGCAGGAAACGAATGTGTCAAAGATACTAAATTCCATTCCTTTTAACTAATATATTAAAAAACTGAAATTTGCAAAGTTCAAATACGAAATACAGATACGAAAAAGTACAAATAGAATACGAGTTGTTTATTGAGTTTTGAAAACTTATACATGAAAGAAAACCGGAAGGGTTGTCATGGAGAAATTAAGAAAGTACCGTAGCGATGTCTAGTTTGATTTCGGGAACTAACTTTTTTTTAAATACTTCCTCATTGATAAGTTAATTGATAATGTGTTTAACACGCTAAAGGAGGCCCTAACTTTAAGGGATTTTCATCATTAATACGAAGATGAGTCAACTTCGATTTTATCAAACGCCCAGCAGGCTAATTCTGCTAATTTTACTATGTGCAATTGTTACATAAAAATTGGCAGAATAGAATCTAAATGACTTGAGTTTAGCCATTGTACTATCTATATATATGAATAATTTTCCTACAGGTATGCAAGTTGTTCACAGACACGGGAATACATTTTATATCAACGCCCATACTGTAAATTTTTATGATGACCGTTTTGAAGTGGTGGACTCTGATGGAGATAGTGTGGACTATGACTATGAATTTTGAAACTGTGAATAAATATCTTAGAAGGATTTCAAAGCTAACTTTAATTAATATATAAGAGATACTTATGCTGAATAGAAGAAACTGTTTACAGGAAACAAAAGAAAAAGAGCTGCTAAGAAGAGATTTAGTGAAACGGATGATGATGAAGATGATACTGATGAAAATAGTACACCTATTTTAAATAATAAAAGAACCAGAAAGCCTTTAATCAAACTAAATGATTGGGATAATTCAGACTCACTGAGTGGAGAGGACCCTTATGCAACAGATGATGAAGATTCTGAATGGAAACCTCTTGATTAATGATTTGATATTTACAAAATCAAAGTAAATTATTAGTTTTAAAAAAATCATGTGCATCAATCTGTATTATTTAAACCTTTATTTTGTTGTTAAGTATTAAGTATGACAAGTTAATAAAAGTTCAAAATATTAAAGCCCAATCAATAATATCCTTCATCATCAGAGTTATTCACTGGATACTCCCATTCATTTGGAGCTGATGCAGGAATTAGAAGAGTCGGGGGTGCTTCTCCCCCTCGAACTCTTAGAGCATACACTGCTAATTCAACTTTAGCTACATTGCTTCTTGTTGTGTTTGTTTTCCGGGCTAGATCTTTACCCATTCCAAATAAACCTAAAATCACAATAAAAATTACAATCAAATGTCACCCTTGATTATCCAGCAATGTCAAACTGTTTTTATTATATTTTGTTATGTATTTTATCAATGTTGCAATAGTTCTTTACCCACCTAAAAATCCAGTATATAGCTCTCTAACATTCTGACATGATTGAAAACATTCTTCACTATCTCCACTGGAAATGCTATTAATTGCCTTCCTCATAAGTTCCCCAGTGAGATCAGCTAAACCCAACATATAATCAACATGGGGGAGCATTGTTACCACTGTTCTCTCTGTCTGAGCATCTTCAGGGCCTTCCTTCATTATATATTCAAATTCTTTCTTTACATTCTCATAAGTGATAATCACACCTTTTTCCATTAAAGAACAGAAAGTTCTAGCTTCAATGAATTCCTGAAATCCTGCTGTCACAGCTCTAGAGTGTAAGTAAGCTGGACTATTTTCTAATTCCAAGCCAATGTTTTTAATTGGGCCATGAATGAGTGCTTGCAGTCTATTATTGGCTTCAATAACTGCTTTCTCTGCAGACTCTTTACTGTAAATCAACTTGAGTGTAAAAGTATATTTTATAATTCCCCTATTGAAATAAAATTAACGGATTTTTTTGTCATGAAATTGTAATTAAATTTAATTGATGATTTTTGTCATAAATATGTATACCATACTATTGTGATGATCAAACTATTAAGTTTCTGTCTTTAGTTTTGTTTGTTTAATTTGATATTAAAATATAGGTAATTTAGATAAATAAAAGTCCTTTTGTTTAGACAGTGGTGTAAAAATTAGCAATTTATTCAGAAGAATAATTAACATCACAGTTAAAGGCATTCATTCTTTTGATAAATCTTAATATGAATATAAATTTTGCTCCGGCCTCAAGCTACATAGCCTGTAGATGAATCTGCCATTGTATAATTATGTATGATTACCACTTACGTTATTGACGAGTGTAATAAGAATATTATACGTTTGCTTTCAATGGTTATATCTCGTGAGAGCTTCACCAACCGTTCGTGCCGGTCTTGTCGTTTATTCAGTTGAACAGCAGCGGATTTAAACATGGCTAGAACTGGACTATCTTCGGGTAAAGACAAAGCATTTTCGCGTGCTACAGATGATAATGTAGGCTCTTTACGGTTGCGATGACCGCGATACCTCCCTGAAAAAGTACGACGTGAATTCTAATATTTTCTCATTCAACCAGTTTATATTACTTACTTTTTTAGTAATACTTACCTCTGTTCGACATCTTTTAGAATACTTGAAGATATTAAACAAGGAATATTTCAACAAGTAGTTCACAATTAAAAACAAATTGAACAAACAAAACAAATAAGAAATCAACGAATTTTACCTTACAGGCAATAAACAAAATATTCAGCGTTGCCATTTACACGGCAATTGCCGTGTTACATGGCAATTTGGGTACAGTCAGCAATAAAGCACGGTACACGACAGTATGTTCATTGCCGTGTTCTAAAACACGGCAATCCAATGGTAACATTTTTTTTTCAATTAGTTTCTCGATAGTCTATAAGTGCTTTATGGCACATCATTAGACTAGACTAGACGCAGTCTTGACTTTATGAGCGGGAAATCGCGACGCTTAATTGACATAGTTTCGCGCTCGCTTCGTCCTTACATTCATATTTTGAAAATAACATATACATTAAGTGAAAAGACGAATAACTTTTGGTCAAAAGTTTTAACGCAACCTTGGTTGCGAAAATTTAACCGGTTATTCCTTTGGGTATTACCCCTTCTACACGCAAATGCAGACTGAAAGAATTTTCAGTATGGTCAATTTAATAAAAACAAAAACAAGAAATAAAATTATTACTTCCACAATAAATGGAACGCTACTAGAAAAGTATTTTATTCGATCTCAAAGAAATTGTGTTAATTTCAAATTAAATAAGCAAATGATTGACAATATGAAGGACAAAAATAAATATATATTTAACAAGGACGAATACGAAACTTTGGATACATTAAGTAATTTGTATGATGACGGTGAAGAATGATTATAGTTATAGTATAGTAATATAGTTTTTTAATGTCATATTTTATCTTAATTTTCAATTTATAATAAATAAAAATGTATACACGGCAATTTTGTAGTCATTATTCCAAAATACGGCAACTTAATATTTCGCAATGGCAACCTTGAAATTACTTTACTCTTCGGTACAGATCAAATTCAGAAAGTTTCCAAAGTCCTCAGATGATTTATTTGGTATTATCTATGGATGATTTATAGATAAATCTATGCCAAAGTCCCATTTTTATAGGGAGATGCGACGATATATCGGAAAACCAATAATATAATGACGGGTGTAAACTTAAAAAAATACATTTTTTTTCTGGTAGTGTTTAAGATAATATTACCTACCTACTAATATAAAAATTAATATAGAAAACCAAATATTTTATGCCTGCTGTCATGTGACTGCAAACAAAAGGAACTTATTGCCTTTAAATAGGTATTCTCTCAACTCCAAATAAAATAATAATATGTAAGATAAAAAGACTTATGTATTTTCTTGATAAATATTTTAAACAGAAAAAAAAAAGCAAACTGACAATGACAAAGAATATAAAGAGAAAAAACAAAGTGGCCTATCAAAAGATATATGAAAGAAGGTTGGTGTGTAAACTAAATAGTTCCAACACTTCCCCTACTTCTGAATAAATTAATAGGCCATTATAAATGTTAAATTAAACCTAATCCTTTCGTTAAACACTGATGTCTTTGCTTCGATAGAAACTTGGTTAAGACATCTGCCTTCATTTCATTTGTCGGAATATATTGTATACCAATAATACCACTAGCAACAGTATCCCTAATAAAATGATGTCTAACATCAATGTGCTTTGTTCGTGAGTGATGAACGTTATTTTTTGTTAGCAGTTGAGCTCCCTGATTATCACTATAAATACAGACACCATTATCTAAACCAAACACTTCCTTCAATATGTTTTTGAGATATATGGATTCTTTTGCAGCATCACTAAGTGCCATATATTCGGCTTCGGTTGTTGACAAGGCGACCGTTCGTTGTTTACGTGATTCCCATGATATAGGTCCATTTAAATAAAATACATATCCAGTGTAGGATTTCCGGTCTTTTAAACATGCACCATAATCAGCATCAGTATAGCCCGTAAGAGTGAGTATATTTTTCTTCTGGAATCGGAGTTTAAGATGCATTGTCCCTTTTAAATATCGTAGAACTCTTTTTGCTGCATTCCAGTGAATTGTCCCATAATTAGAATTAAACTGGCTTAACACACTTACTGCATGTGTAATGTCTGGCCTAGTTCCTACAGATAGATACATAAGAGAACCAACCAGTCTTTGATAAGGCAAATGTTGAGCTGCTTCTTTATCTTCATTTGAAGGATTCACTAACTTTAAATTAGGATCAGCAGGTGTACTAGCCGGTTTTGCATCAGTCATAGCAAAATTATCTAGTACCTTTTTAATATATTCTTCTTGATCAATGGCTATACCATTTTCCTCTTTTGCGATTCTCATTCCTAAGAAATGTTTTAAGTTTCCTAAATCCTTGACCTTAAAAAATTGTTTAATATCCCTTTTAAAATTTTCTTTCATATCAGCATTATTGCTGAGAATGCAAAAATCATCAACAAAGATTGCAACAATTAACATGCAAGTTTCATTAACTTTATAATATAGGCAATGATCATGTTCAGACCTTTTCATTCCAAGTTGAATCATTGCTTCGTTAAGTTTAAGGTTCCACTGTCTAGGCGCTTGTTTTAAACCATAAAGTGCTTTCTTTAACTGGCATACCTTCCCCTTGTTGCATTCTTTAGTGAAACCCTCAGGTTGTTCCATATATATTTCTTCATTTAGATCACCGTTAAGAAAAGCAGTTTCAACATCCATTTGATCCATTGTTATATTCCATTGTGCTGCGAAAGCAAGCAGTAATCTAACTGTTGAAAGACGTGAAACGGGTGCGAATGTTTCGTCATAATCTACGCCGTAAGTTTGTGTAAAGCCTTTGGCTACTAATCGTGCCTTATAGCGTGTGTTTTCTCCGTTTTCATTTTTCTTTATTTTGAATACCCATTTACAACGGACTATTTTTCTATTTTTAGGTCTATCCACAAGGACCCAAGTTTTGTTAGTTACAAGTGAGTCATATTCACTTTGAAGAGCCTCTTGCCATTTATTTTTATCATCAGAACTAATGGCTTCCTTAAAGGTTGAAGGGATATCATCTTCTTCAGCTTTGTAGAGAACTATATCTTCTGACCACTTTTTCGGGATTCTGTTTCTCAATGGATATCTCCTAACAGGTTGAGAAACTTGATTGTTTGTACTATCCGAAATTTCAGTAACACTGTCATAAAATTCTTCTTCAGTGTCGTCATTTCCAGTTACCTGTGTGTGTGTTAAAGGTTCAGTTTCGATATTGTTAATTTCTCCTTCAGTTAGTATATTTTCAGAATTTTCTGTAACTATAAAAGGTTCAGTAATAATGTTGTTGACTTCTCCTTCGTTTGGTATATTTTCAGAATTTTCTGTAACTATAATAGGGACGGATTCTGATACTTGAGTTCCAACTTTATCAACCATATTATTTTGATCACTTGACTGCGATTTGAATAAAAAATCATTTTCAAAAAATTTTACATCTCTTGTCTTAATAAGAATTTTTGGATGTTCAGGATCAACTACTCTGTATCCCTTAGTTTCGGTGCAATAACCTACAAATATGCATAGTTTGGCCTTAGCATCAAATTTCTTTCGAAGAATTTTAGGTATGTGCGCATAAACTCTGCATCCAAATATACGAAGATGTGAAAGATCCACTTTTCTTCCTGTCCAGATTTCTTCAGGGGTTTTCCCTCTAATAGCCTTAGTCGGTGAGCGATTTTTCAAGTAAGTCGCTGTATTGATTGCTTCTCCCCAATAACTTTGAGGTAGAGCAGATTCTGAGAGCATAGATCTGGCTTTCTCTACTAAGGTTCTGTTGACTCTTTCAGCCAGGCCGTTTTGCTCTGGATTGTGAGGCACAGTCGTTTGGTGAACTATACCGGACTGTTTCAAAATTTCTTTCATTTCCGAATTCAAATATTCACCACCGTTGTCAGAACGTAGAATTTTAATCTTTTTGTCAGTTTGGTTCTCGGCTAAGCTTTTGAATTCGCGAAATTTTTCCACAACTTCTGATTTTTGTTTAATTAGGTAGGTAAATGTTTTTCTAGAAAAATCGTCAGTGAAAGTCACGAAATATGAAGCACCTCCCAAAGATTGGGTACTCATAAATCCGCAAACGTCACTGTGAATAATTTCCAACAAATTTGTCGATTTTGAATCTGACGTTTTGAAAGGTTGCTTTGATAATTTACCTTCCACGCAAGCAATGCAATTATCTTTAATAGATCCAGCAGGCTTTGGATACCTGACACCAAGAGCTAAGTTTTTTCTAAGCAATTCCATAGATCTGAAGTTCAGATGACCAAGGCGTTTGTGCCATAATTCAGCTGAATTTTCTTTAACTTCTGTTAAATTCGCGTGAGCAGTAGGTAAATCAAGTTTGTACATACCATTGATATTTGAGGCTGTGCATAAAACTTTTCCGAATACCTTACACGTTTCTCCATCAATAATTTTTCCTCCAGATTTCGAAAAAAGTACGACATTCCCTTTCTTTACCAATGAGTTCACTGAAAGCAGGTTCGTTGAGAGGTTCGGAACATGCAAAACATCGGTAATATTGGAAGTGTTTAGTTTTACAGTACCAATGGCATCTGAAAGAATTATTTGATCATTAGCTATTCTAATACTTTTCGTGACAGGTTTAGTATCATGTAGCCAATCACGTCTATTAGTCATATGACTTGTAGCCCCGGAATCTATAAACCAGTTATCACTCTTTGCAAGAAGCGACTTATCAAAAATTGGTTTACACATAAAAGAGTTTACAAAAGTTTCACTAATCTCCAAATTATCAAAATTAGAATTAGTCACGGACTGATCATCAACCACAAGTGTTACCTCGCAAATTTCGGCCTTTTCATCTTTGGATTTAGCTTTAAGAATTCTACAATTTGGTTTTATATGCCCTGGTTTACGGCAGTAATTACAAAATATGTTCTTAGTGTCTCTATTAAATTTGTTGTAAGACAACACTAAAGCACTATCTTCAGGTGTTTTACTGCAGGTGGCTAGATCTCGGCTGTCTTCTTTCATAAGTGCAGCAATGACATTGTCTGATGTTAGTTCAGTGCCAGAATGTTCCAATGCCATGACGAGTGGCTTAAATTGATCGGGTAGATTACAAAGCAGTATAATTGCAACAAACGAATCATCTACTTTGTGGTTTATTTGTTCTAATTGTTGGTGTGTCGACATAATCTCATTAACATAAGTTTCCATATTATCAATATATCGACAGTTCATTAGTTTTTTCATTAACATGAGCTTTCTAATAAGTCCGCTGTCTGCGTATGCCCTTTTTAAGTTATTCCACGCTTCAAATGCAGATTTACATCCCATTATTTTAGAGAAGACTCTTTCATGACAGCACAAGCCAATTTTAGATCGGGCTCTGTCATCAGAGCGTTGCATTTCTGGTGAGCTATTGTCAAAAGGTGGATGCTTCACGCAATCCCATAGTCCACAATCAATCAGCATCATCTCCATTGAGAATGCCCATGTTGCATAGTTTGAACGCCCTTCTAATTTGTTAAAAGATGGAGTACTTACTGTATGTGCAGTTGAAATATAGGATACTACACTACTATTACTTGCGTTTGTATGAGAGAAAGGTTTTGTACAAGAATCTCCTTCCATTTTTTTTTATGTTCGAATTGCAAAAATTTAGAGTAAATTTAGAGCTCCTGGGCCCATAACCAAAAGGAACTTATTGCCTTTAAATAGGTATTCTCTCAACTCCAAATAAAATAATAATATGTAAGATAAAAAGACTTATGTATTTTCTTGATAAATATTTTAAACAGAAAAAAAAAAGCAAACTGACAATGACAAAGAATATAAAGAGAAAAAACAAAGTGGCCTATCAAAAGATATATGAAAGAAGGTTGGTGTGTAAACTAAATAGTTCCAACACAAACAGCGCGTAAGGTCTGTCGCGACGTTTCCATTCCTAATCGATGTTTCATAACTAAATCTGTTTGTTATTTTTTTTAATAATTAATATCAATTAATTATATCATTATTATAAACTAGATTAGCCTCCTATATCATCTGTCTATGAAGAAGTTAGCTGTAGGTGAATGATTATTTTAAACTCGGTCCAGGAGTTTCAAAGCCTTTTCGATACAAGCAAACAATGTGGAAGTATTTGAAGAAAAAAAAGAAAGCACGAAAAAAGCCCCTCACTAGATGGCGACTCTAGCAAAAGTTGATTTTTGCAGGAAACGAATGGAGCAAAGATAGTCAATTTCGGTCCTTTTACCTAACATATTAAAGAAACTAACAGGACTGACGAATCTTTTTTTGCGCTTGTTAGTTTTTCGCTACCACAGAGCGTATTCTCATCAATGTTCAGGGCAATCCATCTGAACACCCTAAAGAAATACTTTTACAAATATTTAAACTTTTGATAAAGATGAAAATTTGTTCTTATTATTATATTTGATCAATTTCTTAATGAAAATTGCTTATAAATCCTAACTACTAAAAAAGTAGTTATTAAGAATAATCAGGTGAGATTTAGAACTTTTCTTAATTGAGAAACCGGCCGTTTGATTAATAAATTAAAGTAGCGAATTGACATCAAGTGGCAAGAGAATCATTTGATGTGCCAAGTTGACTCGATAACTCGAGTGCATAGAGACTTGAGTGATATCTTTTTCAATCGAGTACCAGTTTGAAAAAATCGATCTAGTGACTCGAATCATCACTAGGTTGAGCACAAACATGGGATGGGCAAATGGGGAAAAAATTGATACATATAGTATCGATATTTTTCAAAGGTTTGAAAATTGATAAATTGTGTCAAAAATTTATCGATATATTGGTATATTATAGCGCGAGTCTGATAATGGCCCTTGGCACAGAAAACACGCTATTGTAAATTATAAATTGTTTAATTAAACTGAAATACAATTAAAATAACTAAACTGTAATCTTCACACAAGCTTGTAAAATATATTTAAATTCTTTTCATGGCGGCTAAAAGCAGAACCAAAAACAATAGACTTCATAATTAATAGATTAGAAAAAAGGTCAAGAGTGAGTTCTACCCTTTTACACAGATAATATATTAAACATAACGAGACGGTACACGGACTGTTCGCCCAGATCTAGTAAGACACTTACGTAGTACTTCAATATCGATATTTTCTGCGTAATAAGCGATTATCTATAAAAATTTGAAAGCAAATAAACACCTGGCTGTTTTGTTATTTACAAAAGATACATAAAGGCAAGAAAACAACATCTTCAAGACTACAAAAATTACATTATTCAAACAGATCAGTATTTGTCTGATATTAACATCCTGGAGCACTCTCACTGATACCAACTAAACCAACAACAGTGTCATTGTCATAAATAAAAAAGACAAGCCACAGACTATTATTTCTAAATTCATACAGCCTAGTGCCTATTTCTCCTTTTTTTAAACTTAAGAAATACATGATGAGACTTGTGAGCAGACAGCAGAACTTTAAAAAATATATCGATTATGATACGAATTTGATATCTGAAAATAAATATCGAAAGCCAATATATCGCGGTAAAAACATCGCTGATTTTTATCGTTATAGACGTATCGATAATTTTTGCCCAATCCTAGTACAGGTACAAAATAAATGGTGCTTGAGCATAGTCTGTGAGCATAGGTAAGAGTAGATGATTGTATTATTATGTATTGTACAGAAATAACTTACAGAATTTCTCTGTTTATATAGACATTTATTAGGGCTACCTATAAAGTTCCTATATAATTCAATAAAGTTAAACAAACATCTTACAGAATTCGCGTCGACTGCCCAGAGTCCGCGAATTGAGACTGTCACGCAATCACGCCGGGCGTGACTACAAGTTTATTGATAAAAAGATAGCTTTATTTGAAGGTAAGTAAAGGTGCTTTCTAAACATTACATAGGTAGCAGTTTAAGTGCTATACTTGCTCTTTAAAGTATCTTTTATTAATGAACTTTTTATGTATTGCAGAAGTAAATAATGGCTCAAACGTTAACTTTTGGTGACTCATGCGCTCCGATTACATGTCATGCGTGGAATAAGGATAGAACCCGTGAGTAGCTCAGCTGGATACTGTTTATAAATGTTATTATAATAATTCATTATTGCGTATGTGTTAATATTAAAAGTCATGAATCTGGCTTGTTGTTGAGATAGATCGCAGTAAAGTTTAATTTTTTCAGAAATTGCTTTCTCTCCAAACAACAACGAAGTGCATATTTATCAGAAAGAAGGAAGTGAATGGAAACAAACAAATAATTTAGTTGAGCATGACTTCACCGTCATGGGTATTGATTGGGCTCCAAACACCAACCGTATCGTGACATGTGCTGTTGACCGCAATGCATATGTGTGGACACAAGGTGAGGATGGTAAATGGACAACTACACTTGTACTTCTGCGTATCAACCGTGCTGCAACATGTGTGAAATGGTCACCAATGGAAAATAAGTTTGCTGTTGGCTCTGGTGCAAGACTTATTTCAATTTGTTACTTTGAAAAAGAGAATAATTGGTGGGTATCTAAGCATATCAAAAAACCTATTCGGTCAACAGTTACTACTTTAGACTGGCATCCGAATAATATGCTACTAGTTGCTGGCTCTGCTGATTTCAAAGTGAGGGTATTTTCAGCATATATTAAAGACATTGAAGATCAACCTGGACCTAATGTGTGGGGTTCTAAACTTCCACTGGGCCAACTATTAGCTGAATTCCCTAATTCTCCATCTGGAGGTGGCTGGGTACACAGCGTCTCTTTCTCTGCCGATGGGAACAAAGTAGCTTGGGTTGGACATGATAGTTCAATCAATATTGCTGATGCTACACAGGGAAAGGCAGTAATTAAACTTAAGACTGAATTTTTGCCATTCTTGGGATGCAATTGGGTTACCAATAATTCCCTTGTTGTGGCAGGACATAGCTGCATTCCATTATTGTATTGTCTCGAAGACAATGAGATTAAATTCGTCGCCAAATTGGATAACACCCAAAGAAAGGAGTCTGGTGGGTTATCCGCTATGAAAAAGTTCCAATCTCTGGACAGACAAGCTCGTATAGAAACCAATGACACTTTGCTGGATTCTATTCATCAGAACGCCATAACTACCATCACTCTTTATAAAGGAACCAAGGCAAATGCTGTTAAGTTCAGTACTTCTGGATTGGATGGTCAACTGGTAATTTGGGATTTGGAATCTCTGGAGAAGAGTATTGAAGGATTGAGGATTATCTAGTTAAACCATTGAATTTATATATTTTAATCTTTATTATGGATTATATAGTTGCATGAGAGCTCTGAAGTCACTCGATAATATAGTAAGAAACATTTAAAAAGCTGTGGAAATTAAATTGCAATCACAGTCTGTTCAGTCTAGCTAGAAATTAAGGAAATAAGTGAAAGCATGGTGATGAGTGAATTCAGCTCTCCAAACAGTAAAAACCTCTCAAATATACAGAATAAACTATAATTTATAGATAAAACTTTTGTCTGTTATCATACAATTATAATTTCTAATTATCAATATTAAAATAATAAGTTATATAAATTAAACATGACTACTATACCCTATATTTATATAATAGATCACTTTAATACTACTGAAGTACTGATTGCTGTCAATATTACATTAAAATTTATTAAATCAACGAAGTGTATTTTTATTTTAACATTAACATCAAAAGTCATACTTTATCCTACAAAACTATAAGGCCATTTTGTATTTTAAAATAACAGTGAGCTACTGCGTGTTAGCAACGATGTTAAAGACAGGTCCGATGCGGATGAACACCCGCCGGAGGACAGAACGCAGCTCTGGCTTCAGGTCGAAGCACGTAATCTCGCAGAGGAGTGGATAGTAACTGGAAACGTGCGCAGCAAACTAAAAGAAAAAAACGATAGTATTACAATCACGACATACGCACCACCTAGGATTGTGACTTGAATTGTTGACTCATCAAGTATCTTATCAGTTTACGACTAAATAGGGAGAAATTGATAAGTACACACGGCTGCACGTAAGGTTACCACAATATGTCAAATTTCCTCAATTGATTTTGAACACTGCCTAAGAGGCATTAAGGTATAAAATCAAGTGGAGAAATTTGTCAGTTTTGTATAGCTTCACGTGCTGTAGACTGTACGTCAAATATTCATATTTAAGCCCGCAAAAAAATGGCGAATGTGTCAATGTGCATCGATTTGCACAAAAATTTAATATACATTCTACCTATGCTTTTGTAGCTATTATATCACGTGTCCAATCAATTTCTTATTTTCAACAAAATTAGATGAATTAAAGGAATTACGGAATAGTATGTCCGCGACGGACAAATTTGAAGGGGCAGAACAGAAATGTGAATATGAAGAAGAAAGGGCTCGAAGCAGACCTTTGCATAGTGACAGTACACCTGCCGATGTCGGCGAATCAAATAAATGCACTCGGTTCAAACCAATCAGGGAATAAGGGCTATTTTAATTTAATTTTACCTAAAGTTAAGCATGTGCCTAAGGTGGATTTCACATGTTTGCATTCTTATTGAGTAACAATAATAAACTCGAAGAGTTTTCATTCTTATCTCCAAATAAATATTTTGCACATCTAACAATAATATGGCATACACCCCTAGATCGTATGCCAAAAGGGTCAAATTTGAAGTGTTGGACCTAAATCCAAATTTTTATGAAAATTTGCGCTGCTTGAGAAGGTTTCAGGGAAGTCTATCATAAGTATTTTAAGTGATAACAACTATTTTTCACCCCACTATTCTAAAACGTTTTTTCAAAACAAACTTTTTCATTTGTTAAATTGTTAGTCACTGTTGAATATATGTAATTATTATATTTTGATTAATTTTGTATTCACAATGCCATACTGAAAAAGTTTCAATATTTGTAACAATATTTCATTCGGCTGTTTGGGTGGATGCCTGAACATTGATGAGAATACGCTCTGTAGTAGCGAAAAGTAACAAGTACTTGAATGATTCGTCAGTCTTGCTAGGTCCTGGGTAGCTCAGTGGTTAGAGCAGTCGCCTGGATTGCGAAAGGTCTTGGGTTCGATTCCCATCTCAGGGTGCCAGGGACCAAGTGGATTTTTTTAAACATTTTGCATTAAGAATATATGTAACTAAGTATGATTATGGCCGGCAGTAGGTATATAGAGCAAGTGGATTAAAATAAAGAATATCCATAATCATAAACATTTTAAATTTCTTAACTAATTTCCTATATTTTTGGATTTATGACTCATTCTTTATTATATTAATAAAATTTGTAATGATTATCTATTATATCATCAAAGTCATAGATTTGAGATTTTGTAGAAATTATGGATACAATTCAGAATGAGTTATGTATGATTTAATTTCCAAGGGAGTGTTGCTGCTGTACTGACAGATTCACACACCGTTAAAACATATATGTATAAGAGATTGTTTAGAATTACACTTACTCTTTCATCTGGCATCTTTAGTATTCTCGTGAGAATCAGCAGTAGGATGGATGTCCATGCATCTCTGTGGGCCTCGTTTGTCACTCCAGCGAAATATTCTAAGGCCTCGCAACAAATAGTGATAAGACTCTTCTGTACAGTGAGCCAATGATCTCTTCGCGCTTCATCGCTGTACATTTTGAACAGTATCCGAAGGACGCATGCTAGAGATTGGGTCTCTTGTTTCAACATGTTTGGTTTAACAGAGCCTTTGAAATTTGCCTTCCATAGGACATTTCTCTGCGCGTTGTTGGTATTGAAGGTTTTAGCAAAGCGATGACTACACATCAGACATTCAACAAGTCGTAACAGATGCGGTGAGCTTAATAATCTATACATTCCTTGCTCTTCACGTTGACATTCTTGTTCAGTATCTGGTATGCCGCCTGTTAGTTCGGCAGCAGCCAGTGCTAATGTTTCCGCGTCTTCTTTGCGGGATGTCGCAGGATAGAAAACAATATTATCGATGGTTTGTATTAATTCTAATTGGACAACACACTTTATTAGCAGACTGTTGAAAACGCGATTGGAAGACTTAATCTCATCTCCCCCTTGGGGTTTCTTGAGGATGCCATGGCGTACATGAGGTGTCTCACCGTCGTCGTTCTCATCAGGTTTCCACGTAAGGAGCGTCGTTGGTAGAGTGCTATTAAATATATCCAACATAATCTGACAGGTCTTGCTCCAAGTATCTTCATTGAATTTTGTTCCATTAGAAATGACTAGATTTTCTAAGCAATTGGTGCCAGATCTTGCGAGTTGTTCATTATCTTGTTGTACACACCAATGTAACTGTGCATACAATTGTTCCAGCAGAAGAGAGCCAAGAGTGTCAAAATATTGCGTGAAAACATCCACTATAGCGTATAAAGCGTGATTACAAGTAGTAGTCATCCATTCATTCTTCTCCAACTGATGTTCCGGTAATTTCATATTGTCAAAAATTCTGAATAGTATATTGAATAAATCTCTCCACCAGTGCGGACGGAATGAGTCGCCGTGAGTTTTTATTATTTCGAAGAGAACTGTCAAACCTCTGGTGCGAACATCTAATTTACAACGGCTTACGACGCAAGACAGCGAGAAGAGAAGCGGGAACCATCCTCGAAGCCAAACCCTATCTTCTTCCAGTGCCCCAGGCTCGCCTTCGAGGCCGGCGTGCTCGACAAACAGGTGCGGCGATGCGCCAACCGCCGAGGCACAAGATCGTACCAATCTTATAGCTTCCATAGATGTATCAGGAAATTTTGCATTACATGCGAATTCAGATAAGCATTTAACTGCATCTTGGAATGAATCAATCATCGCCGGAAATTGTTTCTCGTAAAGTTCCGTTATAACTTTGCCCGTTGTTTGGAATGCCAAGTCAACTATTGCCTCATCTTGATCACTGGCTGCCAAATGAAACACAGAGAATATGTTTTTCCAACCAGACTTTATGTTTGGAGCTTGCGAATTTACCATTTGGGCGATGCACCTTACTACCATATCTCTAATTGTTGGGGAATTATTTTTTTTCATAATGTGTTCGAATGGCCGTAAGAAGTCCTTTTGGAATTTGAAGTTGGCAAATTCACCTTTTTCTATGAATTTCATTGAAAGTTGCCGCAATGAATCCACAGCAAAGAAAGCTATGTCTTCGTTACTACTACAACCCACTTTATTAAAATGATCACCAAGTACCTGCCATATTCGTGACCACTGCAACCTAATACGTCCCATATTGTAGTAAGAAATTTCGACGATCTTTTGTAGTGAAAAAATTCGTGGATTGGAAGGATGGCTCAACTCATCAAGTGATACTTGACAAAGTGCTTTAACGAAATCTACAATCGCGTCACCGTCGAGCCTCGTAGAACCGGTAAATATTCTATCAACAGCTACAACGACACTTTGAGAGCTCGTTTCACCAATATGTTCTTTTACACTAGGATCTAAAGCCATAAGGCTAAACTTTAATGAATCTGGTTGTGGTTTGATTCCTGATCCAGACAAAAACTGTGGTCGAACTCCCGTTCCAATGAGTTGAGCTAATTCCAATTGAGAGATGCATTTAACTACATCTAACCAACTGGAGCCCAAATAGTTGCCATCAGTATGGGCTACTGTTATAAGTGTCTTTATTGTATCAATATTTTTAGCTTTCATTTCTGTTATTGGCGAATTTGCCGTTAGAAGTGTGAATCGAGCTAAAGCTTGAACGTAAGCATCTCTTTCAAGAGACATGTGAAATATGCAAGCTATTCTGATTGCACATCTAATACCGTCCAAACATAAAGATGCTATTTCAGGGTCATCGCAATCTTGTAAGCCTACTGAAAATGCTGCAAGGAAAGGCGTCCAGGCCATTTTAAACATTGGCCGTACATGTTCGACATGTTTAGCAGTAGTGAAAGGAGTTTGCACGTGGGAAACAGATTCCATTAAATTTTTAGCTGCTGTGGATATTTGTTCCATTTCCATATTCCAAACCAGTTTGCGTTTTTTCTCATTCACAATCATGTGCTTTCCAGGTTTAGAGGTGTTTTTCATTTTGATCTCATGGCCAGCAATTTCGTCATATATCTGAGATAAATATTCACGTGGCAAATCATTGTTGTCACTTATGCCACTGTTCAACTTTATATATTGTTCTTTAGTCATTTTATTTTTGACTTGTGGAGAGTGAAGATCTGTTGTTAACATTATAATGGAAAATGCTAACACATAAACAGTATCAGCACTAGTAAATAATGCATTGGTTGGATTACATTCACAGTATCTGGCCGCAAATTTTTCCATCAATCTGTCAATTTTTTGTGCTTCGCCAGGTAAACGGAATCCTTCTAGGAAATAACGTAAAGCAGCAACAATGTCCATATCGGCAAAATTCATTGCATCTATATAAGCATACATAACTTCTTTGGAATGATCATCATTTTCTCCTAAATACTCACCAATAAAAGTTTTATCCAGTCTTTCATCTGTTAATAACCACTCTGCTATCTCTTTTGTGGAACTTCCTAATAAGCTTTGTTCTTGTAAGAAAGCAACACCTTTTTTGGGTTTCCTGTTAAAAAGTTCTATTCCAGTCTCCCATACTTCTTTTTGTTGTTTCAAAACTTCAAATTGCTCAGGTGAGTCCAAAGTTTCTCTATTACCTATATTACTGGATCCTGTTGAAACAAGACTTAGACTTGACCCACCATGAGATTTCATACTATGATGATCATTATCTTCTTTCGTGATTCTTTCCCCTAAAGTGGTTTGTAAGTTTGGATTTATGTAAAGTTCTTTACTCCATTCCACCATACATTTCAGAATGGAAACTAAACATTCAAGGCCACGAATGCGCATAGACTTTTCTTGATTTGGTGTGGCACCCAATTCGAGAGCTTGTCTTCCTTGTGCAATTTTTGAAACATCATTTACCAATCTTTGGAAAAGATTTGCAGCAGATAAATCACAATCATAGTTTACATATATATCTACTACACTCTGAGCATCACCACAAATTCGAGTCAAAGCCTGAATCACCATCCATTTATGTTCAAACGATGAACTGGAGGTCTCTAAAATGTTCATGAAAATCTCTTTAAAAAATACTTCAATCTGTTTTTTTAGATGAACTTTGAATTTTTGCAAAAGAGCTAGAAAAATAGCCAGGGAAAGTTCAAAGACTTCAGGTACAGAGCTGACCCCATTTTTTGATAATGCTACACAAAGATATTGCTTGATAGCTGTTATGAACATCTCATTGTTTCTGAAAACAGGGCCAGCATTTTGTAATATAGACAAAAGTAAATGCAATGATAGGATTTTTGATCTAAGTTCATGAGATTTAGGATCTGGTGTTCCTTCAGGAAGAGGTTTCATTGATAACTTACAGAGTGCCCTAAATACTAAGAAAGCATCTTTTTGAAGAATATGGGTAAACTTAGCTGTAACAGAATTATCATTCTCAGAAGCAACATCTACACTTTCTTGGGAAGGTATTCTGGTCATAGCCGATTCATTACCAGGTTGACCATTACTTTCTTGTGAGACACTGCCACTATCTTGAGAATCAGAAGGATTTTCATTATTTTCTGGAATATTGTTGGATAGATCAGTAGCATTTTTCTTTGAAGCTATATTTATTGCATTATCTATTACAGAATCCACTATTTCTTTTGCAATTATCTTAGCCTCAATAATTTCATCTCCATTATCTGCATTTTCTAGCACAGAAGTTACTTTATTTTTTTCAATTGTTTGGTCAACATGAGCCTCTTCACCGACTATATTACCATTAGGTACCTTATGTATGATTTCACTTGGACTACTTTCAGACTCCAATGCTTGATTTTCCATTTTAGTGAATATTACATTGAGCATTTGAGTCAGTGTTGCTCTTGCAGTTGTTTGATTAATAAGATTTTTGCTTGCAAGGTAGATATTGTAGCAAGTTCTAACTGCAAGCAATACTGTTGCTTCATGAACTTCAACATGTTGACTTGTAATAACAGTGAGAAGTGCTTTAATAATTTGGAGTTGGACTCCCTCATCTGTTTGTGGACCGGTGAAACAACTGCATATTGTCTCAACTATTCTGTCAATCAAAAGCTTTCTAGGTGTCGTTGAATCTGGAATGTTTCCTGTAAGGTGGCCATAAGCAATGAGTTTTTGCAAACAGTCTAGAGCTGTAACAACTATCCTGGCTGCTTTGCTCTTACATGCCAATTCAAATGGAAGGAAATACTTTTCAGCTGTGATGATGTTAGATGCATCATTTTTAGGCAAGGGAAGAGTTCCCGATGTTGGATTATCAGCCGATTCTATTTGACCTCCATTTTTCAATTCAGCTTTTATTTCCTCTGTAAATTAAAAAAGTGTTTAATAATTAAAACATAAAACATCTATTACAAAATTTTAAAAATGATATAATTCAACTACACTCAAAAGGATTATTGTAGCTAAACAATCCAATAATAAAAGTATCACAGTAGAAAACAAAGTGTATACATAGGTATCATAAACATAAGTGCTATACTATCGTACGACATAATAGGAGAATGAGAAATATAATTATTCTGGTAAGGCACAACTTGTTCACCTCAGTCTATCTCTTTTACTTTCACATTCAAGGTTACATTTTGCAATCATTTGTTTCATAATTGCTGTTAGAATTAAACATTATGTTGCTTACACAACAATCTAACCTAATTATAAGTAACATCATACTTATGCCTCACATACAATATAATATATTACGATAGTACATTTCACAAAATGTCATGCGACAAACTCACCAAGTGCTACTTCACAAGATTTTTTCAGTTGGCTGTGATGAGACCTTTTGATATCCTTATCTGCTAGTATTTTCTCTAAGGCTCTGACTATAAACATTTCTTTAGTTTTAAGATTGGTTTGCATCATTATTTAATTATGGAAATCACTCCATTCGTTCCAAAAGGAATCGACTTATTTGCGTAGTTTCGTAGTCATTTATTTAATCCAGAGGCACTGTAGTATTGTTTTCGTAAAGATTTTTTGAACATAAAACAACACAGATATAACATCACAAAAACCGATATTAAATGTTTTTTGAGAAAATCTATCTAAACGGGGATTTCACGATTCACACCTCATCACAAACATGTCAATATGTAAGATACGTTCACATGACATTAATTTATTATTATCCAGTATTACCAGTGTCAGTGTATATTACACAATTATATTACAAACTTATACATCCAATTTTAGATAAAACTAAACGAGAATTTATTTACTGATTTTAAAAATGTTTAACTTATTAAAGGAAATTTAATATCAAGGATGTGTTAAAAAAATCTTTAGATGCGTTCAGATCCCAAAGTGTCCCAAAGAGTAAAGTAAGTAAGTAGTTCCAACTAACTGTTTTTTCGGTTTTTCTACCGATACAAACAGCAATGCATAAATTTTTCTACCGATATTACTCTGTTTGGATGGCAATCCTATTTGTTTATAAAGTTACGAAATCCTTCAATTGTCTTCAAATCAAAGCTTGTGAGCAAATAACCATATGGTATTTATTGCAAATAATCAAAAATTAGACATTTGTAATTGATCTAACGAATGGTAAAAGTGATGAAAGTGCTACGATATTTCATCTGTTTCTCAATACTGTTAAACGTAACAGTTTGCAGAAAATTTATAGAATAGAGCAGAGTATTATATAATAACAAATTAATATATTTGATAGGTGATATAGAACTATTTTGGGATAAAGAAAGTAAGCCGTTCGGATGTTTTCGGACGGACTCAAATGTTTCCCTCCCTAATTATTTTCATTTTTAATATATAACACTGCCCCATTCGTCTATTACCCTCCATCCGCATTGGGCCAGCGTGGAGGGTCATGGCCCATACTCCTTAACCATCCATAAGGAAGGCCTGAGCCCCTGTAGTGGGGACGTAAAAGGGCTGGTGGTGTGATTCGTCTATCAACGTCGAACATATATTTTTGTATATAAACTAATTACAAAAAAAAATCTAAAGTATAATCTAACGAAAATAAAACAGCGAAATGGGCTGCCTACTCAGTGACCATAGGTTAAAGCATATCAGTATAATCCAGATGGTTAAAAAATTTTTATAATCCTACTTACATTATAAATTCGAAAGTTTGTGATTTATATAGATGTATATATATTTGTAACTTTTTCACGAACAAACTATTGGACCGATTTTAATGTTTGGTATATGGATATTTCCGAGTGTGGATTAACATATAGGCTACTTTTTATTTCACTAAACATTTCACTGAGGACTACGCGGACGAAGCTGCTGATGTAATCAAATTTTTAATAAATATTGTTTTTCTTTTTATGAATAAACGAATTTGATTGTTTATGTATTTTGTCTTATACCCGTTTTAGTTATGAGTATACCTATATATGCGGGCAACCCTACCGATTCCATCCTACAAGAATTTAAAATATAATGATTTACCATTCTATGGCGTTCAAGACCTTAGAATAATAGCACTTTAGTTATTATTCTAAGTTCGAGACACTGATACTTTGTCTCATAACATGGACATACACTTTACACTTTGCTTTGCCTACAATCATTGCTGCTGAACATACCGCAAACTAAATGTCGTTACGGTACTTTCTTGATTTCTTTCATGTATAAAAGTAAATAAATTTTCAAAACTCAATAAACAACATATACTCTATTTGTACTTTTTCGTATTCGTATCGATATCTAAATTTCGAACTTTGTAAATTTCAGTTTCTTAATATGTTAGTTAAAAGGAACGGGAATGACTATCTTTGGTCCATTCGTTTCCTGCGAAAATAAACTTTTTTAGAGTACAATCTAGTTATATGCTATTTAGTGCTTTCGTTTTTTTTCTTAATACTTCCTATTACCGTTACATATGGCAGTCGAAACGAGCTATTAAAAAAAACGGTAATCAATGTATGACTCTACAACGCAACAAACTGAACCGATCATTGAATTTATGAAATAGAAGTAAGGTTAGTTATAAACTCAATGAAGGAGTATTTAAAGAAATGGTTTTGAACTCAAACTAAAAATACTTTGAAATAATCGTATCGATTTAATTACGGGCACGAATTCAACTTTTCTCTTTTTTATGATAATAAAGGTTCGTTGCATAATTACAGATAAGGCCAATGAAGAAAAGCAAGTTATTGACTATGAATGGAGTCTTTTCTCCAACAGAACCTGATGAATTTTGGAATAATTTATTAGATTTTCTGAAACCTTTACTCGGTAATTTAGCGTTTGTTCTTGAAGTTCTTTCATTCCAGCGACAACACTGCCTACAACCCTAAGAGTTTACAGTATAATACATAGTTTTTTTTTTAATTGGCTACAGTAGTTTATAACTTACTCTATTCTTTACTCCAAAGAGTAAAGTTAGAGTAAAATATTTATTTAACTAGTTTACTCTTCTTTGAAGGTAGCTGAGCGGGACGGGCTTTTGCTTTCGTTTTCTTTAAATTCTAACAATTTAAGACATTTTTAATTTAAACTCGTCTAAAATTAACCAACAAAATTGCTTCCACAATGACTGTGACGCGGGTGGCAGAATCCCGCACAGAATTTAAATTAAAAAGCCTTCCTGAAGATGCTATTTCCAGTGTGAAATTTGCACCGAAATCAAGTCAATATCTACTCGTATCATCTTGGGACTGCTCTGTACGGTTATACGATGTACTCTCCAACAGCGAACGCCATAAATATAGCCATGAATTACCTGTACTTGACGTTTGTTTTAGGGTAAGAAAATCTTCTTTATTATGAATATTTCTTGGGCTTAAAGGATGTTATTCAAATTTCAGGATATTGTTTATTAATATATTTACAGGATGCAGTACACTCTTACAGTGGTGGATTGGACCAAACATTGAAAATGTACGACCTCAATGCGGGCTCGGAAACTGTACTCGGTGAACATAAAGGAGCCATCAGATGTGTGGAGTTTGCTAGTGAGGTGAATGCTGTGCTAACCGGCAGTTGGGATGGTACTGTGAAGATGTGGGACAGTAGGGTTCCTAATTGTGTTGGAACTTATAATCAGGGAAATGAAAGGGTAATTGAAAGTGTTGTATACTCTATCTCTTAAATTTTATTTGTTTCTTTTACATGTAAAAACTTCAATTGTATGTTTAATTTCACAGGTTTACACAATGAGTATAGTTGGTGAGAAATTTGTTGTGGGTACGTCTGGACGTAAGATTTTTGTCTGGGATGTTAGAAACATGGGGCATGTGAATCAAAGAAGAGAGTCCTCTTTGAAGTATCAGACACGATGCATCCGTGTATTTCCTAATAAACAAGGTTATGTGTTGAGCTCAATCGAAGGTCGTGTGGCAGTGGAGTACTTGGATAGCAATCCTGAAGTGCAGAAAAAGAAATATGCCTTTAAGTGTCATCGAATAAAAGATGGTGGTAGGTTTTTGTATTTTCTTAATAATTATACAATTATTAGATTGTTGCATTTATTAGTTGTTTCATAGTCTCCAGACTTGGCTAATTTTTTTTTCTATTTTTATTCAGTCAGTAACACTTCAATTACTATATTGGTAGAATTATTTGTGAATGTACAAGCACAGTCATTAGTGTCATACAAAAATCATATAACATGTATGTGCTTGGCTATCATAGAGTCAATATTATTTTTTGTTCATCATATTCAGCTGAGAATTTGGTTTAAGAATCTAGAGCACTTGTATTATGGAAATCTGAAACAGCATCACCATACCCAAAACAACATAAAAAAGAACATTTTCTATATTGAGACAACCACTTTGGGTTCATTGTGCATTGGTGGGTGTTAATGACTGGAGATGTAGCTTGGCATACTTTCCAAAGCTCTAAGTAGCTTGATGTCATCATCACAAACCGACCACTGCACTATCAAGCCCCAGTCATATATTCAATGTATTTTACAGGTTTGGAGAAAATCTATCCAGTCAACGCAATCAGTTTTCACTCCATATACAATACATTTGCTACTGGTGGATCAGATGGATATGTTAATATTTGGGATGGTTTCAACAAGAAGAGATTGTGCCAATTCCACAGATACAATACAGCTGTATCGGCACTCAGTTTCTCCCACGACGGGACAGCTCTAGCCATTGCTTGCTCTCAACTAGATGAAACTCAAATAGAAGAACCAAAACCAGAGGACAGTATTTATATCAGATATGTAACAGATCAAGAAACTAAACCAAAATGAGGAGAAAATTATGCCCTGTAGACATTGTGTTTTTTTTTTTCATATTTTAAAACCCTTTAATTATTTTTTTTGACAACATTGTATGAACATGAAAAGAATTTTAATCAGGGTTATGAATTTATGTTAAGATTAAAAATGGTATTGAACATTAATTATACCTTTGAAAGTTAAATGCATCAGTTTAATATGTTCATCAATGGAATATGTTCTAGAAAAATAACATTATTGTAATTTGTCTATTGGGCAGAGTGTTAGTTTAAATAATTATTCTTTAAGTGACAAACTGGTAATAAATAAGCTCAGAATGAAATGGCATTTCTTTTTATCAATCATAACTTTAACACTTAATTGAATTTACAATCTTATAAGTTTTATAATGACTAAATCTTGGTGGTAGGTATCCAATCTTTCTTATTAAAGGATTGCATAGGTATATTGGAGGAGCCCCTTCTATACATTTATCTTCTCTTAATCAGTGTCAATACCCTGATATATGGAAAATATCTGGGGTGATTCTTATTCATAAGAGTAACTCTGATGTGGATATAACTTCTCAAAGACCAATAGCCATTATTTCAGTAAGGAGTACGAGACTTTTCTGAGTGAGCCTATTGTTCAGCAAATAAAACCATAGCCGAGTGATGCGCAACATGGTTTTTGACACTGCAGAAGCCCAAACACTAATAGCATCAACCTGGACGACGATGTGATCTTGTGATTGGAATCTGGTTATCAAGTCGATTTGGCTTACTTTGATTTTCGTAAAGCATTCAATGTGGCGACGCAGGTCAGTGTAAAATCGCGTCTAATACCCGGTATTATAACTATTGAATAATGCAGCACGATAGTTTAAAAACGAATGATACTCCAGAAAATTTATTTGATAGGGTTCACACCAATGCTTTTAACACTTTAAGCTAGTTACCTGTACAACCGTGGACAGTTCGTACAGCTCCAAGGGTTCACCTCAGATTTGTATTATCCAAGTCCGGAGTCAGTCGGGGAAGTACATTAGTACACCTACCTTGTTCTCAATAATGATACACGACTCCTCGAATGAAGTTAAAATTGCCAATTGTTTAATGTTTGCAGACGATTTATCATCCTACAATCGAAGCCAATGATATCGTCCTACAATCGAAGCCAATGATATCGTACTCCAGGATCAACGCCGTGGTGGAATGGGGCATACATAATAGTCTCTTTTTCAATAAATCAAAGTGTAAAACTATAACCTTCAGCAGATCTATAACGACTATTACTATAAGCTACACTTTACTAAGTGATCTGATGGAGTGGGCTAGTGAAATACGAGACCTTGGGCTGTACTTAGTACGTTAAACTTTAGGAGTTATATAGTCTTTGTAAAAGAGCTAAGAGTGCAAAGCATTAGTCTTTGTTATGAGTAATGCTAAAGTACCTACTCGTAGTAAGCTAGAATTTGGCGCAATAATATGGGGTCTCTATTTAGCTAATAATTCTTTATTTAGCTAATAGGCATTAAAGTTGATGTTGTGAAGATTAAGAAAAAGTTTGCTAGGTTTTTGTTAGGTCCTGGGTAGCTCAGTGGTTAGAGCAGTCGCCCGGATTGGGAAAGGTCATGGGTTCGAGTCCCGTCTCTGTGTGCCAGGAAGAAAGTGGATTTTTTAAGCATTTTTCATTAAGAATATTTTCCAATATAGCAGTGAGAATGCAAAATTTATCAAATAAATGAAATTAATTTTTAGAATTAAACTTTTTATTTTACGGCACTCAGAAACGAATGTCGTTCTGTGCTAGACTGTTTTAACCGACTTCAAAGAAATGTCAGCATAGTATTTGTTAGACTTAGGAGAAGGTTTAAGGTATATTAACCGACTAAAAAGATGGAGGTTTGCACTTTAACACGTGTTGTATATATATTTTTCGCTATTTTCTCATGTTTAGCTGAACCGATTTTGACGCGGTTTTAAGAAAAGTATTTTTAGTGATAACATTGTTTTTAGTGTTGATATTGAGATTCTTTATTAAATAGCGGCTTCGTCCACGTGGTTACTATATGGTTCCTTTATCCCTAGGGACCCATTTATGAGGTAAACAGTAGGTAACTTATATTTTAATTAAAATATCCATACACCAAATGTAATCGTTCAGAATAGTTTTTGAGTTAAGAAGTAACAATCTCTTCTAATTGTTTATGATAATATTTTAGTGAGATGATCTTTATAAAATGGTCATTCAATGTTGTCGTTTTAATTTGAAGTATATTTCAGTAGCATGTGTCATACGGCTGATGATGATGGAGTTTCCATCATGTCCCAAAATAAAATGTAATTTAAATTGAAAGACTAATGAGTACCTATTTATATCAACTTCGATGCAAATCACCCCCAAAATAACTTTTTATCTCTTCGTAATCGTAAGTTGAAGAGTTTCAATAAAATACGAGAAAAATATTTTATTAAAGAATTTGTATGCAAAAATTATTTAGTTGAGCAGGAAACAAACTTCACCGTAACGATAGGAGAAGGAGATGCAGACGAGATGCAACTTCACAACATAAAGGATTTATTTACACCTTTTTTTACGCCATGATAACCTACTACGATTGATTCGCAGTGAGTGGCGTTCCCTCACACGTTCGTTTGTGTTGTGCGGATTATAGTTAATAGAGTTAGGAAAAAGTTAATTTCAGGAAGAAAAGAATACTTCATGGGAACATGATATTAGAACAGATTAATTTACCGCTATTATAAACAGGGCCGACCCGTCCATATAGGTAAACTAGGTACCTAACGCTTAGGTATTGTGCAGCTTTCAGTGGAGAAGCTTCGCCCTTTTAATTTATAAAACCTCGACGTGTAAATGTGCATACGAAATTGATCTACACAAAGAAAAACATCGCAATTAAAAAACTAAAATAAATTACAAACACATAGAAGAAACCAAATATCTGCTTATGGTATTTGGGGGGTGGCATGGCAAAACGAAAAATGATTGTTTGCTTTTATTATTTCAAACTTAAAATGCAGTACCTTAAAAAAATACTTTTTCTTTCTCATGTCTGCCGTATTCAAAAGTACAAAATTTTCATACCAACAGTACCCATAGAGTTTCTTTTGTCATTGGCATAATAATACTCTTTAGTCGATCCTACATTAGTTTTTTATTTTGTTATGATTTTTGCGGGCATCGTTTCAGTGTTTAACCTAGCGCGCCAAGTTTCATTATGACGGCGTTGATTATAAGCCGATTATCACTACAGATTTTTGTCATAAACCAAATGTGTTTAATTATTTTTAAACAAAAGCTCTTGTTTCTGGAGATTGTGATGAAACATGAAAGTGTAATTTTTACTTGTATTCTATTTAACTTGGAATATCTAACAAAATAAGTTTCATCGCTAAGTATTGAATTGAATACAGATGAATGTACCAATAAATTAATGCCTGACTAAATATAGCGAGCAACATTTCACATTAATGTTAATTTGCATCGATTTCTAAAAGATTTTCCCTTCCTGTACCGTAATACAACACATAATCTAAACACTGCATGTAATGAAATACCGAAGCACTGCGCTTTCTCGTTTAAAATTTTGCGTGCCATATAAGTCCGTTTGAATATTAAAACGGGCATTCTAAACGTTGAAATTAACACATTCGCGTATACACAAGGAAAGCATCCCCGCATACCGCAATTAAATTTAAGAGCGTTCTGTGATCCGCGGAAAGCATCTTGTATCTGGCGAGTGCCTTGTATGGAACGAGTAAGGTGTACATTCTTGTTAAGGCGTGTAATGTTAAAGTTTGCCTGTTTGAAAGTACGGCTGGTCTAAATTGGCGAACAAATAAAGATAATGTTTGCGACCACCTTAAGGTTCTTAGGTGTAAAGATCAGGTAAGTCGAGAATCCGGTATAATGGCATTGTGTTTGCGGAGACTCGAAGCACCTCGGTAATTATAGTATTAGGGAGCCACTCACTAATTGAGGAAATAATTTTTGCTAATATAATGAACGGTAGACGATGTACTGTCTGTGTGAGTTATGGGATTGTTTTCTGGCCACTTAGTTTTGATGCAGTTCTTCTAGATGTATTATTTAGTGTGCTTAATTATAGTTTACGGAATCCTATAGGTAACTAACCCATCCACAGAACTGACAGGAAAACATTTTTATAAATACAATATACAAATTGATGATTTGTTTAAATGAAAATGTAATTTAATTAAATTAAAACTTCTGATAAGGAGCTGGTAAGTTACATCGCATGTTTTGTTCTTCTCGTCAGCCAAAAGACGCCCTGACCACTCGGTAGGGAAATCATTTTGGACGATTCAAAAGTGCTTGTAATAAGCTTACTTAAATAAAAACATTTTACATTTTCATTAATAAATGGTTTAAAATAGAATGATATTAAAAAAAACCAACCCAGTGCGAATCGAACTTGCGCACGAAGGGTTAAGTGCCATCCACATTCATACTTATAAATGCGAAATTAACTGTTACTATATAAATATATATTGTGTAAGTAATCCAAACGTCTACTTGTTGTCTATAAATATCGAGCAAAAACAAGCAAAAACAAAACCCGATTGTTCTATGAGAGCCCCTTTAAATATTTATTTTATTCTGGTTTTTAGTATTTTTGTTAAAGCGTCAAAAGAAATATATCATATGTGAATATTTCAACTGTCTAACGTTCACGGTTCATAGAGCCTGATGACAGGCAAACAGAAAGACGGCGTAGTCTTATTACCTAAATGAATGATGAATGAGTGATGTAATCTAAAAAGCAAATTTTCAATAATATGCGAACTTGAATATATAAACAAACAAGCGTATTTTACACTAAAAATAAGTAAATTAACTTGTAAGAAGCATAAGACTTAAACGAGCTCTTTTATATTAATGAATAAATTAGTGAAAGTTCTATATTTTTTAGTACTGAGTAGCAGATATTGTTGCCAATAGTATTACACTACTCTCAAACTAATCTTAAAAAAAATATACTTGATGTGCTGGAGGAAGACAAATTTAAGAAGACGATATTAAATATTTATTTTTTATTCAATTACATTTGGCCTTAGTTGTTCTTACTTTTTGAATGACGAATTTTTCACGCACTTGTTGCTTTTCGCTACTACAGAGCGTTTTCTCATCAATGTTCCGGCATCAACCCAAACAGCCGAAAGAAATATTGTTACAAATATTTAAACTTTCGATAAAGATGAGAATTTTGTTCTAATTATTATATTTTGATTGTTTTAGCATTCAAAATGGCATGATAATTATTCTTAATACAAAATGCTTAAAAAATCCACTTGGTCCCT